TCAGCAAACCTGGGTCCCTGAAGTTTTAATGTGCAATTTGAAAATCCCTCCAGTTTCTCCAGTTGTTGGATTCAAATAGCATATGGTATGCATTGCAGAGAGCCCTCCACAGGCACAACACGGCTAGTTTCCGTCTTCAGTGAAGCCCCATCATCCACCGACATGGATGCTCTCCAAGGATAAATCACTGGGCTTAAAGAAAGGGTTTGTTTGTGGATTGTATTCCTTCAGTTGGAGTCCTCTCAAAACTGGACGGTTTTCCATTCCCTCGGTTTCACTGGGGCCACGAGAGGCGTAAGCGGTTGCAGATGTCGAAACGCCTACTCTTCTGGGAGGGTTTAGTTTCTGGTAACACGCTTTTGAGGAGAAAAAGATGAATTCTAGGTCTGTGTGAAGGCTGTTGTGTTCTTCATAGACCAGAGGAGAACTTTGTGGTGGTTTTACCCAGCTGCACTAAGAGGGTAAAACAAAACTGGAAAATAGATGCCCGTGCTCTCATCTTTGGTGTTGCATTTTATGTCACCCGTTGTCTTGCGTGAGGACTGGCATGTCTTTTTAGTGTGTCTCGGATATTATTTTCAGTATCTTCCTTTTAGCCCTTGTTTCCATAATTTTCCAATGGCATCACCAGGTTTGAGTAGAGGAGCTCTGCGTCTTCACTCCCTCTGGTTGGCTCCACTAGTCTCAAATATTTGAGCTTGGGGACCAGAATGAGTCTTGTGTTGCCCGCGCCATCCACCTTTCTCTGGGCATCTGCCGTAGTTTGAAGGGTCCAGTGTTAATCCTGATGTTCACATGAGAACATTGTGGCTGGTTTTGCATTATTCATCTGCCCTGGACTCTTCCCATCGCATCCCTCCACCAGCTCTCCATCATTTTCACCCTATCTTGTCATCTCTACGTGTACAGGTTTTGTTTTCTTTCATACCTAGTTCTCCCCACCATTCACACCTGTAATCCACTCCCCATCCCCATTTTCAGGGTGGCCAGGCTTCCAAACCCCACCCTTCACATGGTGCCTTCAGACAACCTGGCGGTTTTTTTCATTTTGAAAAACGGTGGGGCTGGAAGGGAGGTTTTTACCTTTCTTGGAGAGAAAGATACCTGCTTTATTTGCCTAACTTTGATCAAGAGCTGTCAGTAACCCCATCTTTGGAGTCTGGTGTGCTAAATACCTATTTTCCATCTCCTGTGTGTTGAAGCTTCTGTTGTATTGTGAAATTATTGGAGAGCATCTGTGCCCTTTTCTAGCTTGGGAAACCTCTAGTGCATCGTTCTACTGTGTGAAAGAAACACAGATTTGGAATAATTCAGTCTGTCATCATAGGAGATACCTTAGAGGGTGACGGGAAAAACCTTTCTGATACCAGGGTGGAGATGGACAAGGTTCTGCCACAAGATGCCCTGGCTCTTGACTTGCCTCTATGGGTCTTTAATGTGTCTAGTGCTGCTTTAGTGTGGTTGTCGTCTTGTGACTGTTGCCGAGTGTTGGTCATTCAAAATGACATATAAAGATCGTAAAATAGTTTATAAAATGACATGTCTTCTTTCAGAATCAGCTGTGTTCAGAAAACATTCAGGAAAAAGGGAGAAACTGTGGAGGCTCTCAGAAGTAAGAACGTTTTAGCTTTTTAGCTGCTTATCAGATGCAGAGGAGCAATAGCTGAACTGTTGAGGGGTCTTTTGTGTTTCAGTTCGGGCTTTTTGGTTTCTTTTAGTGGGGTGGGACCTTGGAGCGTGAATGCCAGATGTGCCTGTGTGTGTGTCTTCTCCCATCGCTTTGGCTGTAATCTTGTTTAAAACGGTACCCCAAAAAGAGGAGCCCTTCCACCACTAAAGAAAGCCTGCTGGCATCGTCCCCGTTAGTCCTCCTCTGCTCCATGTTGTTAGTGATACGAACTTCCCTGCCCCATCTCCCTGATCTTTTCATCTCGTTTCCCCGTGTGGCTTTTAACTGCGGCCACCCCGCAGCCAGCGCAGGGACCGTCCCGGCCCCAGCGGTCCCCTGCCCCCCTGGGGTGCAGAGGTAAGGCGTCCCCTTGATGCATTATGAGTAAATGCATACCCCATATGTCAGTATTTGAATTTACCTCTGCGGTAGGAGCCGGCTCCGGGTGCCGTGAGCACATCGCTAACGTCTCCTCTTTCCTTCACGCCTGCCTCGGGGACCAGATTTATCCTTCGACATCTACGAGGGTCAGATCACGGCTCTGCTCGGGCACAGCGGGACTGGGAAGACGACGCTGATGAACATCCTTTGCGGGCTGTGTCCGCCCACGGATGGTGAGCTTCTCTGGTCCTAGCAGATTTTGAGTACCCCGCTTTCAAAAACCGAATTCTTAGTTACAGTTATTTCAGGATGCACCACATTTTTCTCTGGATAACGTCTGGAAGAGTCCGCTTTAGATTCATGTCCGTGTTACTCTGCTCTCTGGCTGTAAAAAAACCTCTGGGGTGAGTGCTCCTGGCTTTTGTTTTTTAGGGTTCGTCTCTGTCTATGGGCACAAAGTTTCTGAAATCGATGAAATGCTTGAAGTGCGGCAAATAGCAGGCGTGTGCCCCCAGTCTGACATCCACTTCGATATATTGACCGTGGAGGAGAATCTCTCCATATTTGCTGCGATTAAAGGAATCCCGCAGAACGATTTGATACAAGAGGTAAGTCAGCTGGGCACAGCCACTGTCTTACATGTTCGTTTTTCCACCCGTAGGGCAAAATAGCCGCCGATTGTACAGATATTCCCTTAAGTTTGCAGGGGAATGCTACTCTGAGTATAAGAGACGAGGAGGCAGAGTACGGTCAGATGTTCTTACATAGATAAGTTGTTCGTTTTTCCTAGGAAACTAAAACGCTTGTGAAACATTTTAAATCCTAGCATTTCGGTTCAAGTGGAGACGCCTTTTAACTTCTTCAGGTTTGCTGGAGCTTAAGACCCCGCTGTGGATGCACGGGTTCGTTAGCAGGGCGCACGGTTCGGATACAGAACGCACTCTGAATTAGGAACGGTTCACTTCGATGTTACTTGTTAATAATCTGGTTAAAACAATTGATACAGCTTTTTTTTTTTTTTTCTTTTTCTTTTTTTTCCTTTTTTCCTTTTTCCTTTTCTTTTTCCTTTTCTTTTTCCTTTTCTTTTTCCTTTTCTTTTTCCTTTTCTTTTTCCTTTTTTCTTTTTTTTTAACAATAAATGGTGTTTCTTATGTGTTAAAGGTGCAGAAGGTGTTGTTAGATTTGGATATGCAGCCTATCAGAGACAACCAAGCGAAAAAATTAAGTGGGGGGCAGAAGAGGTTTCTTTCTTTTTTTTTCTTTTTTTCTTTCTTTTTTTTTCTTTTTTTCTTTCTTTTTTTTTCTTTTTTTCTTTCTTTTTTTTTCTTTTTTTCTTTCTTTTTTTTTCTTTTTTTCTTTCTTTTTTTTTCTTTTTTTCTTTCTTTTTTTTTCTTTTTTTCTTTCTTTTTTTTTCTTTTTTTCTTTCTTTTTTTTTCTTTTTTTCTTTCTTTTTTTTTCTTTTTTTCTTTCTTTTTTTTTCTTTTTTTCTTTCTTTTTTTTTCTTTTTTTCTTTCTTTTTTTTTCTTTTTTTCTTTCTTTTTTTTTCTTTTTTTCTTTCTTTTTTTTTCTTTTTTTCTTTCTTTTTTTTTCTTTTTTTCTTTCTTTTTTTTTCTTTTTTTCTTTCTTTTTTTTTCTTTTTTTCTTTCTTTTTTTTTCTTTTTTTCTTTCTTTTTTTTTCTTTTTTTCTTTCTTTTTTTTTCTTTTTTTCTTTCTTTTTTTTTCTTTTTTTCTTTCTTTTTTTTTCTTTTTTTCTTTCTTTTTTTTTCTTTTTTTCTTTCTTTTTTTTTCTTTTTTTCTTTCTTTTTTTTTCTTTTTTTCTTTCTTTTTTTTTCTTTTTTTCTTTCTTTTTTTTTCTTTTTTTCTTTCTTTTTTTTTCTTTTTTTCTTTCTTTTTTTTTCTTTTTTTCTTTCTTTTTTTTTCTTTTTTTCTTTCTTTTTTTTTCTTTTTTTCTTTCTTTTTTTTTCTTTTTTTCTTTCTTTTTTTTTCTTTTTTTCTTTCTTTTTTTTTCTTTTTTTCTTTCTTTTTTTTTCTTTTTTTCTTTCTTTTTTTTTCTTTTTTTCTTTCTTTTTTTTTCTTTTTTTCTTTCTTTTTTTTTCTTTTTTTCTTTCTTTTTTTTTCTTTTTTTCTTTCTTTTTTTTTCTTTTTTTCTTTCTTTTTTTTTCTTTTTTTCTTTCTTTTTTTTTCTTTTTTTCTTTCTTTTTTTTTCTTTTTTTCTTTCTTTTTTTTTCTTTTTTTCTTTCTTTTTTTTTCTTTTTTTCTTTCTTTTTTTTTCTTTTTTTCTTTCTTTTTTCTTAACAATAACTGGTGTTTCTTATGTGTTAAAGGTGCAGAAGGTGTTGTTAGATTTGGATATGCAGCCTATCAGAGACAACCAAGCGAAAAAATTAAGTGGGGGGCAGAAGAGGCGGCTGTCGGTGGGCGTTGCTGTTCTCGGGAACCCAAAGGTGCGTCTGACGGAGGTGTCCCCCCCCTTGGTGTCGGTTGTACACCGAAGGGTTGGTGCCTCTTCTCAAAACCAACCAATGCATATAACAACACGCGAGATGCAGAAATTATTGCTGTGAGCAACTGTCGCTTTTTCCCCCCTCCTCATTTGTGGTTCAAGCAATTAAAATCACTTCAGTAGGCCAGCTTTTATGCTTGAGGATGTTAATGGCTTAGCTAATGGCAAGTGGCTCTGGATTTGATCTCTGTGAGATAAATAGCGTGGCAAGTTTATGTCGTTTCTGGCAGGTGACACTTAGCCCGCAGTAGGGATGCTGATGGAGGCGTCCCTCGCGAAGCCGTCGCGGGGCAGGATCGGGGGCAGGGAGCTCTTCTGTGTTTGGGATTAATTGTTTCTAGCCTGCAAGAACAGCGACTGCTTTTAGATCTGTATTAAAAAATGACGCGAGTGACAGTTCGCTGGGATTACAAAAGCATGTGTGTGTATATTTAACCATCCCTTAATAGAAGGCTCGAATCCGTAGCTGAAGGCAATTTTATTAGAAACACAACAAAACAGACTACAGCATTAACTTACCGTGTGATTTTTCCATTTGTCACAACAGGAGATGACTGTATTCAAAGCTGCCTTGCTCAGTCTAGGATGGCCCCTATATGTTTTAGAGGACTAACTAGCAGCCATCAGACAGCAAGCCCCGTGTCTCTTAACTTGGGTGGGATTTCCTGAGGTCAGTACCTTGCACGTGGGTGCGGCTTTGCAAACGCTTTTTGGTTTTGCATGAAGGTTTTGCTGCTGGATGAGCCGACTGCGGGAATGGATCCGTGCTCGCGGCACATCGTCTGGAACCTCCTGAAAAACAGAAGAGCGAATCGCGTGACGGTTTTCAGTACCCACTTCATGGACGAGGCCGATATCCTCGCCGGTGAGTCTTGCCGCAAACCCCTGGGTACCGCCTGGGGTACCCAGTCCATAAGCGACAGTCGTGTTATAGAGCAAAAATTGATGCTTCTCTATCGCCATCTACAATTCCCTGACAGGAGGGGGGGGGCTAGAGGCGGGGGGGGGGCGTTTTTTGTCAGGCTCTGGAATGGGCTGCCCAGGGAGGTGGTAGGGTCCCCATCCCTGGAGGTATTTAAAAGAAGGGTAGATAAGGTGCTTAGGGACAGGGTTTAGTGGTGGGATGGCAGAGTTAGGGGAATGGTTGGACTTAAAGGTCTTTTCCAACCAAAGCGATTCTATGATTCTAACAGAGGTATATGCCTTTATTTGAAATCTACAGTTGGTTTTGGGAGTAAATTGACAGTCCTCTGATTTTATTTTTTTTTATTTATTTATTTATTTTGTTTTCTTTCCAGATCGTAAAGCTGTGATTTCTCAAGGGATGTTAAAATGCCTCGGATCTTCTCTCTTCCTCAAAAGCAAATGGGGGATTGGCTACCGCTTGAGGTATTCTTCTTGTGTGATACCTGTTACGTGACACCATCTATTTTTTTAAATTGTTTTCTGATGAAATCTGTAAGACAGCACCCCCTGCCCCCAAAAAGATCCTTTTATCATCTACACTGAATGTTTGGTGCTCTGCTGGCTGCCCAGGGAGGTGGTTGAGTCCCCATCCTTGGAGGTATTCAAAAGAAGGGCAGATGAGGTGCTTAGGGACATGGTTTAGTGGCGGGATGGCAGGGTTAGGTTAACAGTTGGACTCGATGATCTCAAAGGGCTTTTCCAACCGAAGCGATTCTATGATTCTGATACAGGCATAAGGAGGAGAGCAAGCTTTAAAACCCCAATTTCTTGCCGTGCCTTTTCGTAGCATGCACATCGATGCCTATTGCAACACGGAAGCTACGACCTTGCTGATAAGGCAGCACATCCCTGCAGCCAGCCTGATCCAGGAGAACGCCGAGCAGCTCGTGTACACCCTGCCGCTCAAGGACATGGACAAGTTTGCAGGTACTGGTGGTCTCGTTGTGCGGCGGGGTTGAACGGCTGCGGACAAGAAATACGTCAAGCGTGGCGGTGGCCTGCAATTCGTGTCGTATTTTCACTTCTGCATGTAGGTGTTTTTATACGTATTTGTTGTTTGGCTGATGCTCAGGCGGCGAGGTCTTTCTCGGGCGGGTGAGAACCTCGTTACTTCCTCCGGGGTGGGTTGTGGTGTGTTACGAGGGGTGCGGGTACCCGACAGCGAGTGCCAGGGAGGTGCCTTTAGCAAGAAGGGTGAAGCGATCCTTCTGTCTGGGAATCCCCTTGTCCTGCAGAAGCACTATCTCATTGCTGAGCGTTGTAATGAGCCGGGCTGGCCTCCAGCGGGAAGCCAGAAAGCCCCGAGTCCTGCAGGGATCGATCCCCGCCTTGTTGCCAGCTGCGAGGAGCGTTGTGTCGCTGCCTTCGGATTCCCCGGCGGGCGCGTGGAACGCGTGCTGGTTTCACTAGATGGCAGCAATTATCTGAGCCGCCCGACGCGGGGCTCCTTGTTCATCTCCCCAGAGAAAATGGAAGAAACAGCGTGTCCTTCGCGCTATGTGGAAAGCGAAGGGCGAATCGATACCGATGTGAATGCGGCTCAGATTTCATAAATGCTTTTTTCCCCCCGTTGCATTTAACCACTTAATAATTTATCAGCTTTACCTTTAGCAGCCGCTGCATGTACTTTTGAAAAACAGGCGTCCTCAGTTCCCTTGGACTATTTTCAGGAGAAGCTCAGGTTAGGAACATGCCTCAGCCGCTGGGGCAGAAGCAGTCGCGGAGATCTGATGAGCATCGCTGGGTATCTGACTGCTCCTCCCAATTTACGCATTTGCATTTCCCTTCAGTGTGACCTTGGGCTCAGAAGCTCCTCATTTTGTCAAGTCCTTCACTTCATAGGACTGGCAAGAGCCCAGGAGCATTTTTTTATCTCAAGGTGCTCGTAAGTGCTCTCACTCTGAACATCATTTTGGTCTTCAAGCTATGCACACCGTCCAGGATCTCCTGCCCAGTTAAGCTGGCTTTACAGTTCTGGGTATTTATTTATATATATATATATATATATACACACACACATATATATTTATGTGTGTGTGTGTGTGTGTGTAAAAATATATATA